CATTTATCATTTAGACTCATTAATCAGAATAAACAGCAACCTTTAATCCAGTAATTAACTATAATCAAGAAAACAATGCAACTGAAAACTTAATTGACTATTTAATTATATTTAATTGTTGGATTAAAGATTGTTTGTGCTATTTTAGTCATCCATTTTGTTTTCTGCAGTTCCTACACTCATTATGGTAAAATGTAGAATATACTGCTGTTTGGCATTAGCTAGAAGTACATACCTGGCTTGCTGTTTCAACGAAACCTACTGCCTTACTGGTAAAATTATATTTATGTTAATAGGCCTACCCAAATATTCATGATTTGCATTACTTAATTTAAATCCACATAAATATATTTAAGTTTTTTCATCAAATTCACAAACAAATATTTGTTATAATGTCTCTAAGTATTAATACATTTTGGCTAGGATAATGCAGTTCATTTAAAAACAATCTAACTTAATGCAGTTCTAAGATATTTATGCTGTATTAGATCTAGTTATGTTCCCAGATCTAGACTTTAAACAGTTCAAAATTTATACTTGAATCATAAACGAATGGATACTAAGAGTATTTTTGAACTTTATTATTGTTGACACACCGTGTATGCATCAAGAATCAAATATTGCAAATAATAGCATAAAATTTTCCTGTGTGAAGGTTCATTCATTATAAGTTGTAATCATATAATTATCTACATTTACTATCGACTAAATTCAGGAATAGGAAAAAAGATTTAGTTGTTTATGAAGTTTCCTCAGCAATAGGAAGTGTCCAATTATATATGAGCTTATTACAAGTAATAGTACAGTTAATTCTATTGGTCGAATGTTTGAGATTTCTGCAGAACATGCATACTCCAAGAGTATGCATAACTGACAAAAAAACGTATTTGACATATAGAGGAACTTATGAGGTTTACATGTGTCAACAATGATATGATACATACAAGCCAAGTTCCTGATTATTAAATATTTGAATAAATGATCCATTATGAAATTCTTTCCCAAAGCATTTTTTAAAACACATCCTAATGAATAAATTCCACATTTAGAAAATTTTACTGTATTAATGTCAAAGTATTCTTTTTCTATTAAAGATTTGATTGATATAAACACACACAAAGATTATCCATATCTGTATTGAAAGTAACTTATTTAGTTTCCGTATATCAATTATAATTAAACTTACCAGTTTAAACAAAAATTTCAATCTGTAAAATATAGTCTCAAAGACTATGCTAAAAAATAATTTTAATATTAAAAAGAAAATTCAGAATTTGATGTATTTATGCATAAAATATAAATTAATGTTTTCCAACCTAATCACATGACATACCCTTTTAGGATGTATCTAGAAATATCATTCTTGAGTCTACTCATAATTCAAAAAATCTGACATGAATTATTAATCATCATGCTGTCAATATGTTATGTATGAATGTAAATATATAAATGTTAAATGTTTTTGAGAAAAAAAGAAATGAATTAAGCTATTCAAAAACGTCACTTCAAAAATTCTAATATTTCAGGAAGCACAAAAAATGTTACTATAAATTATTATTCAACAAACTTTATGGCACACAATTAAATAAGTCACAATTATCACACATTATTCAGATGACTGTGAAGATATTGTGACAATTTGAGAAAAGTACTTTTTTTGCTTAAATCAATTCAAATGTATTAATTCTTTTGTCTATATCCTTACTGTATTCAATTTTAATTATAACATTGTTTACATTGGATTCGGTATATTAATAGGACTTATTATACTGATGTTTTCCTCTATTTGAAAAACTGAGACATCTTATTCAGAAAAACAATTTGCAAAAACTGAAACACCAGTATAATAAGTCCTATTAATATACTAAGTCCAACATAGACAATGATATATATAAAATTGAAATATATTATCAAAATTTTAGGAATAAGTTTATTAATAAATAGTTTAAAATTATTGTCTGTTTAACAATGATTAAACTTATCAATCTGCATCTGTGCAAAACAAAAGAATTTTTAAAAATTTTTTACAAATAAAATAAAATAGGTCTTCATAAAAAATATATTGATAAATACACATCTATGAGTGAAGAATTCTTTGTAAAAGTAGCTACCTAATGATATGAAACTGATTGAACAACTATTAGAATGTTTAGAGTCACTTTCATTTCGTTTTAAAATTTAATATATAATACAACTGAATTATCATACTTTTTAAATTTTATGATAAAATATATTTTAAAATTATTAAGAAATCAATTCTTATCAGATTTCAGATTAGATTTTCATCTTACTATGTTTAATATTTTCATGTTAATATGAATATATATATAATGACAATTTTATGAACAAATGTTTAAAATGTAATAACCTTTCATTTCTTCTTGTTGAAATGTTTAAAAATGTTCATTAAATTTATTTCATACATTAAATATTTAGGAAAGCTAGATTTAATATAACTAAAAAATAAAATTTTCATTTATCTTAAAATATTTTCTAATTAAATTTTATTTAAACAAAAGTTTCTACTGAAACAAAATATACATATCATTCTAAAGCATTTTTCTTAACAGCAAGTTAATATGAATTTTCATGGTTTAATAAAGCAATTACACTATAAAAATTTTCTGTTCCTTCTGCAATATTTTATGGCAAGACTAGCGAGACAGACTTATCTGTAACACCTTTATTGCTGAACAATTTTTGACAATTAAGATTATTAAATAGGATTTATGTATAAAACAGCAAGTCTAAGAGAAACAGCAATATCCAAAAGCTATTNATAAATGTTAAATGTTTTTGAGAAAAAAAGAAATGAATTAAGCTATTCAAAAACGTCACTTCAAAAATTCTAATATTTCAGGAAGCACAAAAAATGTTACTATAAATTATTATTCAACAAACTTTATGGCACACAATTAAATAAGTCACAATTATCACACATTATTCAGATGACTGTGAAGATATTGTGACAATTTGAGAAAAGTACTTTTTTTGCTTAAATCAATTCAAATGTATTAATTCTTTTGTCTATATCCTTACTGTATTCAATTTTAATTATAACATTGTTTACATTGGATTCGGTATATTAATAGGACTTATTATACTGATGTTTTCCTCTATTTGAAAAACTGAGACATCTTATTCAGAAAAACAATTTGCAAAAACTGAAACACCAGTATAATAAGTCCTATTAATATACTAAGTCCAACATAGACAATGATATATATAAAATTGAAATATATTATCAAAATTTTAGGAATAAGTTTATTAATAAATAGTTTAAAATTATTGTCTGTTTAACAATGATTAAACTTATCAATCTGCATCTGTGCAAAACAAAAGAATTTTTAAAAATTTTTTACAAATAAAATAAAATAGGTCTTCATAAAAAATATATTGATAAATACACATCTATGAGTGAAGAATTCTTTGTAAAAGTAGCTACCTAATGATATGAAACTGATTGAACAACTATTAGAATGTTTAGAGTCACTTTCATTTCGTTTTAAAATTTAATATATAATACAACTGAATTATCATACTTTTTAAATTTTATGATAAAATATATTTTAAAATTATTAAGAAATCAATTCTTATCAGATTTCAGATTAGATTTTCATCTTACTATGTTTAATATTTTCATGTTAATATGAATATATATATAATGACAATTTTATGAACAAATGTTTAAAATGTAATAACCTTTCATTTCTTCTTGTTGAAATGTTTAAAAATGTTCATTAAATTTATTTCATACATTAAATATTTAGGAAAGCTAGATTTAATATAACTAAAAAATAAAATTTTCATTTATCTTAAAATATTTTCTAATTAAATTTTATTTAAACAAAAGTTTCTACTGAAACAAAATATACATAATATCATTCTAAAGCATTTTTCTTAACAGCAAGTTAATATGAATTTTCATGGTTTAATAAAGCAATTACACTATAAAAATTTTCTGTTCCTTCTGCAATATTTTATGGCAAGACTAGCGAGACAGACTTATCTGTAACACCTTTATTGCTGAACAATTTTTGACAATTAAGATTATTAAATAGGATTTATGTATAAAACAGCAAGTCTAAGAGAAACAGCAATATCCAAAAGCTATTGTCCCCCTTACAATTAACAAAATATAAATAAATTATTTTTGATAAAACTTCTAAGATTTGTGTTTAAAGAATTTTTGTATTCTGCTGAAAGAGATTTAATTATGTTACACATTCTTTAAAAATATTTATAAGATATGTAAAAAAATGTTTAATTAAGATCTCTTTCAATAGAAATTTCTGGTAGGAAAAAACAAAAATTTATTTTAATCAAAATAAAAATTATTTGTTTATAAATTTTTGTCAATTTTAAAATATCTTTGTCATTATAATTAATTTTGTACTGCTTAATTAAACAAAACGAATTTATAATTAATTTTTCAACTATTTTGGTATTTCATAAATTACTTGTTTAAATATGTTTAAGCAGTAGATAATAATAGTAAATGATAACTAAATTAATAACTACTTCAAAATTTTTTAAAGAAATTGGTATTTTTCAATTATAATTGAATATTCATTTTCATGTACAAAAGAAATATACATAACATTGAAATGAATGTAAAATTTATCCTTTATGTCAATTAAAAACAAAATTGTTTAAATATAAAGGAGTCATGCAGTTATAAGGCATTTAAAAAATTTCATAAAATACCTTATAAAAATATTTATGGAAGAAATATTTTAACTATAATTTATTCAATAAGAATTTTATATATTTCTTCTTTAAAACTAAACTGAATTTTGAAGTCATTTAAGTAATTATAATAATATTGAATATATCATAAATATGAATTATCATGAAAAAATTAAAAATTTTAACAGTAACCAATAAATATAGTGGTTAATTTTTATGTAATTGCTGTTTTATACTATCATAAAAAGTTATGTGCTACCTGTACAAAATTTTAAGACATTGTCTTATAATGTATTACTACAAAGATTGTATCAATTTTTCAGAGTTTATTTTATCTGAGTTTTTACAATCACAATGTGATGACAATGAAAAAAGAATAATTTGATGACTATGTTGAATTATTGATGAGTAGCCAACTGCTTCAACAGTACATTTCTGCGTCTTTCCAATTCTTCTTCACTCACATCGCTTTCAGAAGAATTCCATAACTAAAAAGATATTAAGTAATCATTTTTATTTATTGAATTATATTGCAATTTCTAACCCTCAAGTATTGCTATAATTAATTTTTATTAAAAGTTTCTTAAACATATCAATTCTTTTATATAAAAATTGAAGATAAGATCAGAATGTAATTTAAACCTTGAAAATAATCTAAAATTATTGAAATACTTAGAATTAATTTATGTATTTTTCAATATGTATAATATTACTAAAATATTATATACAATCATATTAATTTATGAAAATATAAAAATTAAAAATATACTTAAAACTGATATCTTTAATTAATTTAGTTTTATAGTAGAAGTGGATTAATCTAACCATTTGCCAACTGTAAAAACTCAAATCCATATAAATTAGTCCCACATTAAAAAAACACCCTAATAATATATATTTTGCATATTTAATAGCAAAATATATATTCAGTAGGTTTTTCTTATGTGGGACTGATTTATATAAATCTGAGCTTTTACAGATGGCAAATGGTTAGGTTAATCTATTTCTACTGCCACTGAATCTGACTTATAAGTCAGCAAACCATACTTCTTTAGCTTCTGGTATTCCTTACAGAGAACTACTGAATGTCACTCAGTGTGGTGAACAGTTTAATTTTCATGTATTTTTTCTCAAGCTTTGTAGTCAATACAGTATAATGAAATTTTGTTTTGTATATTTAGAAATATCAGATTAAAATGTTTTTCATTACAGTAAAAACAAAATGTGTTTAAAACATTTTATTTAACATTTTTTTTATTAATTGTAAATTATTGAAAATGCTTAAAGCTAAAAAATAAAATAATCAAATATTTTCTATAATATTTTACAGACTAATATACATTTTCATTTTAACTTAATTATGTAATATATTCTAAACACATCAATATTTTAATTCTTTTTGTTAGAAATTTAGATTTTTTAAAATAAATAATTTAATTTTTTCATATATACAACTAGCAATATACACTATTATTATTAATTTTTAAATCAGGTATATCTCAGAAATTTAGTTTAATCATAGGAATAATTGAGTCCCAACTCATACAAATAGAAAAGTTTATTTTATGTAAAGAACACATTGCACACTTTATTAAATGTAATACTTATATATAATTAATGAATTAAATATGTATTTCTAACCTTAGGATCGTGATGATCCACTTCACCTTCTTCCCTTGTTGGACTCCGACTTACACTTTTAACTTTTCTTTTCTTGTGACTTTTGTGATCAGATTCTTCAGAAGCAGATGAAGGCTACAAAATCATAAGCATTAATATACGTTTACTTGATTTAAGTACAAAACAAAATCCAATTAAATAAGAATGATGCATACAGAATGAGATGGATGGCGCTTATCTTTCTTTTTAGTTTTCTTTCTGTGTCTTCTGGAATATTTTTCATCTAAAATAAAATAAATAAATATATATAATGTATATATTAAAAGCGATGCATTTAATTAATAATGATGATAATTTTTCAAAATCATATGAACAAGAATTACACTATTTTATTTTCTAAATAAGAAAAAAAACCAAATGCAGTCAGTGTCAAATTAAAAAGCCTCTAGCAGGTCCTAATCAAAATTTAAATTGGGGCCCCAATTTAAGATTTATTTTAAAACACAATAAATTAAGAAAGATAAAATTATTATTTATGTTTTTTGTTTTGTTTTTTTTTATTTTTATTTTCTGTACTGAATCCAGACCTTTCCTTATTATGGCCCTAGGAATAATTTGTCTTATTTGTCTATTGGTCAATCTGGCACTGAATGCAATCATTGTTTTTGTAAAATTATTATTCAGAAGAAATAAAAGTAAAGTAATTACTTCTTTTGAAATAGAATAATTAGTTACAAACCTTCTTCTGATTTTCCATCTGAGTACACAGAAGGAGAACGAGATCTAGATCTAGATTTAGTTCTCTTCTTTTTCTTTGAGCGATGACGTGAATTTTCTTCTTCAGATTCAGAGCCCTATAATATATTTATACACTCAGATATTATAATTTTACTTAACTATAACATATATTCTGAATATTATAATAATAATAATTGAAGTTAACAACAACAACTGTAATTTAATTATACTTGGAAACTTACTGAGCGTGAATGTGATCTTGAGCGTTTCTTTTGTTTTTTATTTTTCTTGGAATGTTTCTTAGATTTGCTATGATGGTGACTACATGCTTCCTATAAATGAACAGTTTAACATAAATCCATTATTAAATGAGTAATTTTAAATTTTAATAATAAAAAAACCAAACAAAAAATTTTGAGCTATTAAAAATTAGAAAAAATTTATATTAAAAAATTTCATCATTATAAAAACTTATGAGAGTTTTATGTGCTTTTCTCTCTCAACTTTTTACAATCTCAAAAAAGAAATTAGGATTATTTCATTCTCGCCAATGTAGAAAAATACCTAAATTTAACAAATTAATCTTTTTGTCATCAGATACAGTTAAAAATTTACAAATTTCATTCTTTTTCTATTGCTTTGAATGTCACAACAAATATTTTTTTTTTAAAAAAAGCTGTTTACTTATTATGATAAAGCAGAAGAGAATATTTTATAAAAATTTTAATCAAAGACATTTTTTTAATCTCTAGAAATTACATTTATGCTTATTATTATATATTGTTAAAGTTCAAATGACTTGTAATACAATGACTCAAGAAACAAATCATAAAATATATTATTAAGTTCTACTTTTGTATAGTTTTTATTGTAGATTTATAAGTTATGAAGATTATTGAACATTTTTGATAATATCTATTTTTATTTTTTCTCTAAATCCTTTCAAGATTTATAAGCATACAATTAAAGAAAATTTAACACAAATCTGATAAATATCATTTTTGAAGTGGAAAATTCTATATTAAATTCTATAATAAAATTATTATAATTTAGTAAGCACTTTTAAATTATTTATTTTAGGGGTTTATAAAAATTAAATTCAAACACAAATTGTTTTCAGTTTAAGAAATTTATAAGTATTGAAAATAAAATCTATATAAAAAAGAATATATTAATTAAGCACAGAAATATATCTTTGAAAGAAATATTTTTGTTGTTACTGAATAATTATGATCATTTTTTATATTAGAAATATTCTAGATTATTAATTTTTCTTCTCTATTGAAGAATATAAAAATAAAAAATTATTTCAACTTAAATATAATACTTACCTCTAATGTCTGCTGATATTCTTTAAAAAGACGTATTCTTTCTGATTCTAAAAGAATATTTCCAAATGCGGATTCCTTTTCTAACTGTTTACGAACCTAACAGAAGAATTAAAATAAAATCTAAAACAAGTTCATTAAATTTATATTTATAATTCAAGATTACAAGTATAGATGATGTATTATACTATAAAAAACTAACAAGAACATAAATTAAAACTGTAATTTCATAAAAAGTTGATATTTATGGTAATTTTACAACTTTTAAATTTTTTTTGTTTAATTATAAACAGTTTAATTATTTAAAATATTTTTGACATTCAAAAATATTTAAAATAATTAAACTGTTTATAAAAATTGCAATTGCTTTGTTTCAAATACAATAAAACTTTAAAAAAATGACTTGACTGGCATTAAGTCATACTTTATAAAATTTTTATGAGTGTCTTTAATAGAAATCCAGCAAAGACTTGTATAAGTTTCCTGGCCAAACTTTAAAATTGTGTTTGGCACTATCTGTTATGGTATTTTATTAAAAACTTTTTATGTTATTATTATAAAATAGCAAAAAGTTTAATTTTAAGAACAGGGATGAGTTTTATAAAAAAATTTGCAAATACTAATAATGAGTAAAATCTTCATTAAGTCCGACTCCACTTGAGAGAAAAACCCCTATCTTTCCACTCCTTGACCTTTAAGAACCAAAATTAAAAAGTATCAATCCCCTAATACAAAACCTCTGAAAAATTTCATAAATTTTCGACAAAAGGCACAGGAGTTATTAAGCTTCAAAGTGGATAAACAAAATTATGTCCCTCACCCACCCACATATACAACATATAGAAAACCCAAATTATTTTACATTCTCAATGTTTCAAGGTCCCAAATCCAAAAATGTAATCATCATGGGGGGGGTCACTTTTTTAACTGATCACAATACTTTCCTTCTGATCATAATATGATAAAGCTAAGAAATTAAAAAGACAATTAATTAATATATAAAACAAAATGTTATATATAAAACAGCATTGTTAAGCTCTATGAATATTTACAGATAAAAATAATAATAATGAAACTTTGATATAATAAGTGAAATGTTGGTCAAGTGAAAACCATCTACATTTCACTGTTAACAAAAAGACCTATTTGATATCAGTATATACATTTTAAATTACCAAGTACTGTTACAATCATTGTAGTAATTTTTAAATTAATTCATATTTCATTGTTTTGAGAACATTAGTAAAAATTTTTTTATCTTTATGTGGCACATTCGATTATTATCATTTTTCCAAAGAAAGCCCAAGAATGTAGTTGGCTAAAGAGTTCATAAAGCAGACATGTTTGACACTAGATGGAATGATAGAGCTGTAAAACCAATTAACTGCAACTAATTGTTTTACAAACTATGTTTGTAAAACAATTAGTTGCATATGACTGTTAAGTTGGTTATATTTGCAAACCCAAAATAATATATTTGATATTCTATTTTCTATCCTACAATATTTATTTTCTTGGATTAATAACAATTAGAAATTTATAAATAATAAATGAAGAAAGATGATAAACAACAGCATAAATAGTATAAATAAAAAAGAAAAAGTTTAATTGGAAAATAAAACAGATTATTAGATAGACAAGGAATTGCCTAGTTAGCATGTGAAGCTTTATTGATCTGTGACAAAAAATAAATTTTGTTTTGTTCCAGCTCATGCAAATCTGAACATTTTACTCCTCCAGGTTAAGCTCAAATAGATCAAGTTTAACATCATACATTTCCATCAGACATTACGAGTTTATTATTGTCAATTCCTATATTTTGTGTGTAGTAAATGTACTGTACATTCATTGAAATATACACTTTTTAGTGTTAATTCTACTTTTTATAAATAAGAATAATTGCTTTATATTATATTAAGCTAACTATTATTAATCATTGTATGCATTATAAATTACCATTATATCTGTGAAAATATTAATGAATATTTATCTAACCCAAAGTAACCCCTATCTAATGTCATAAAAATATCAAATTTGAAGAAATATATTTAACTGTAAGTAAAAACTGTTTAATTTATTATTAGGTTTATAAACAGAAAATCTGAAAATTATATTTTCAAATATAATTTACTTTTTTCACGTCACTTCAA